ATGAAGACATAATTATGATTAGTTATGATACATTCCTGCTATGGGATCCTATAGTTATCGGTAATGACAGTGACGAGCATCTATGTAAAACTTCTTTACAGGAATTTTTAGGGGCACACTTTTTTTTTTTTTTTTTGGACAGGCAGAGTTAGACAGTGAGAGAGAGAGACAGAGAGAAAGGTCCTCCCTCCATTGGTTCACCCCCCAAACGGCTGCCATGGCCGGCGCGCTGCACCAATCTGAAGCCAGGAGCCAGGTGCTTCCCCCCGACCTCCTATGTGGGTGCAGGGCCCAAGCACTTGGGCCATCCTCCACTGCCTTCCCGGGCCACAGCAGAGAGCTGGACTGGAAGAGGAGCATCTGGGACAGAACCGGCGCCCCGACCGGGACTAGAACCCAGGGTGCCGGCACCGCAGGCAGAGGACCAGCCCAGTGGGCCGCAGCACCGAGGGGCACACGTTTGACCTAGCAGTTAAGGCGCCAGGTCAAGATGCCTGTGTTTCATATCAGAATACCTGGGATCGTGTCCCAGTTCCAATCCAATTCTAGCTTCCTGCTAATGCAGACCCTGGGAGGCAGCACTGATGGCTCAAGTAATTGGGTCTCAGCCACTCATTTGAGAGACCTGGACTGATTTCCTTGCTCCTGGCCCAGCCTCAGATGTTACAGGCATTTGGGGAGTAAACCATGGTATGGGCTATCTATCTCTTTCTCTCTATCTCTTAATTAATAAACTTTTTAAAAAGATTTATTTGCTTATTTGAGAGGCAGAGTTACAGACAGAGAGAGGGAGAGACAGAGAGCAAGGTCTTCCTTCTGCTAGTTCACTCCCCAGATGGCCTCAATGGCTGGAGCTGGGATGATCTGAAGCCAGGAGCCAGGAGCTTCTTCTGGGTCTCCCACGTGGGTGCAGGGGCCCGAGGACTTGGGCCATCTTCCACTGCTTTCCCAGGCCATTAGCAGGGAGCTGGGACTCCAACTAGTGCCCATATGGGATGCTGGTGTTGCAGGCAGAGGCTTAACATACTATGCCACAACGCTGGCCCCAGTAAATAATTTTTAAAAGGAGGTCAAGGAAAAATTTTAATGTAATCCCAATTGATTGAAAAAATGTATATTCTACAAAGGAAAAAAAGCCCACATAATGTGAATCTTTTAAGGCCTTTTTCCCAATGGAGGCTTTCCTTTTACAATGAAAATATACTTCTAATTTTTAAAAAAGATTTTATTTATATATTTGAGAGGCAGAATTACAGACAAAGGGAGGGAGACACAGAGAGAGAGAGGTCTTCCATCTGCTGGTTTACTCCCCAAATTGCCGCAGTGGTGGGAACTGGGCTAGACAGAAGCCAGGATCCAGGAGCTTCTTCTGGGTCTCCCATGTGGGTGCAGGGGCCCAAGCACTTGGGCCATCCTCCACTGTCCAAGTGCCCTCCTGGGCCACAGCAGAGAGCTGGACTGGAAGAGGAGCAACCGGGACTAGAACCCGGCGTCCATATGAGATGCCAGTGCCACAGGTGGAGGATTAACCTAGTGTACCACGGCACCAGCCCCGACAGATTTTTTTAGATATGACTTCAAAAGCACAGGCAACAAGAGCAAAAATGGACAAATAGTACTACATCAGATTAAAAACCTTTAAACAGAAAAAGAAATAATCAATAGAGTTAACAGAGAACCTACAGAATAGGAGAAAAATATTCCAAACTACTCATTTGCTCAGGGTTTAATACCCAGAATATATAAGGGAACTCAAATAACTCAATGGCAAAAAACACAAATATTTTAAAATGGGCAGAAATCTGATATAGACCCTTCTCAAAAAGGGTGAGCAGAAGCCTAAGTGTGAAAAATGCTCAACATCACTAATCATTAGGGAAATGCAAGTGAAAACCACAATGAGATACTAGTTCACCGCAGTTAGAGTGACCACTAAGAAAGAGATAAAAATCAGAAATTCTGGCAAGAATGCAAAGGGAGCTGTCCTATACAGTTGGTGGAATGTAAATAAATACAGCCTTTATGGAAAATGATATGAAGGCCCCTCAAGAAAGCACAAACAGGAGTTGGAGTGCCGATTGAGTCCCAGCTGCTCCGCTTCCAGTCAAGCTTCCTGCCGATGCAACCAGGAAGGCAGCAGATGATAGCATAAGTGGCTGGGCCTCTGCCCTCTGCCACCCATCTGAGAGACCAGGATGGAGCTCCTGGCTCCTGCCTTTGGCCAAGCCCAGACCTGGTTGTGGAGTGAACTAGAAGATGGAAGATTTCAATTTCGCTTTCTCTGTCTCACTCTCTAACTGTTGCTCTGCTTGTCAAAATAAGTAAGTAAGTAAATAAATAAATACATAAATAAATCTTTTAATAGAAATACAATTACCATATATTCCTGCTATTCCATTTCTGTATATATATCCAAAGGAAATGAAATCAGTCTGTTGAAGAGACATTTGACTCCTATTTGTTTTTAAAGGTTTATTTATAAGAGAGTTAGAGAGAGAGAGACAGAGAGTGAGGTCTTCCATCCTCTGGTTCACTCCCCAAAATGGTTGCAAAGGTCAGGGCTGGGTCAGGCCAAAGCCAGGAGCCAGGAGCTTCATTCAGGTCTCCCATGTGGTTGCAGGGGCCCAAGCACTTAGGCCATCTTCCGTTGTTTTCCCAGGGGCATTAGCAGGGAGCTGGATCAGAAGTGGAGCAGCTGGGACCTGAACGCACATGGGGTGCTGGTGCTGCGGGAGGAGACTGAACCTACACCATAGCGCACCCCACTCCCATGTTTATCACGGCACTATTCACAATAGCCAAGACGTGAGATCAACCCAGGTGTACATCAATGGACAGAGGAATAAAGGAAAATGTGGTGTATATACATGCACAATGAAATATTATTCCATGATAAAAAGAAGGAAGTCCTGTCATTTGAAGCAACATGAATGGAACTGAAGGACATTAAGTTAAGTGAAATAAGTCAGGTACACAAATGCAAGTAGCACATGTTCTCACTTATCCATGGGTGTTAAGTTGATCTCATTGAGGCTGACATGCTGCGGCAGGTTAAGCTGCCGCCTGCAATGCCAGCATCCCATATTTGAGTCCCAGCTGTTCTTCTTCCAGTCAGCTCCCTGCTAATGTACCTCAGAAGGCAATGGAAGATGGCCCAAATGCTTGGGCCCCCGCCACCCACATGGGAGACCTGGATGGAGTTCCAGGCTCCTGGCTTCAGCTCGGACCAGCCCGTGGCCGTTGCAGCCATTTGGGGAGTGAACCAGAGATGGAAGATGTCTCCCTCTCTCTGTCACTGTGCCTTTCAAATGCATAAATCTTAAAGGAAAAAAAAAATCTCATAGCAGCAGAGAGTAGACTATCGAGTGGTTACAGACCCTGGAAAAGGTGTGGGCATGGGCAGAATGGAGAGAGGATGGGTAGAAGTACAGGGTACAGTAGGTTAGGAGGAATAACTTCTAATACTAGAGAACTTTTAATAGTTGTATAGCATTACAGGATAACTATGGTTGACAATAATTGTTTATCTGAAAATGGGAACAAGGGTTTTGAATGTTACCAAGGTAAAGAAATTACAAATACCTGAGTGAAAGGTACACTAATTACCCTGTTCTGATCATCAAGATCTATATACATGTATTCAAATGTCATATAGAGGGGGCGGTGCTGTGCCGAGCAGGTAAAGCTGCTGCCTGCAGTGCAGGCATCCCATGTCGGCACCAGTTCGAGTCCCAGCTGCTCCACTTCCAATCCAGCTCCCTGCTATGGCCTGGGAAAGAAGTAGAAAATGACCCAAGTCATTGGGCCCTTGCACCTGTGTGGGAGACCTGGAAGAAGCTCCTGGCTCCCGGCTTCGGATCGGCGCAGCTCTGGCTGTTGCAGCCATCTGGAGAGTGAACCAACCGATGGAAGACCTCTCTCTCTGCCTCTCTGTAACTCTTTCAAATAAATAAATAAATATTTTTTAAAAATTCATGCTAGATCCTGCAAATATGTGCAATTTATGTCAGCTAAAAATAAAATTCATCTTTTAAGATCGCTGAAGTTTTCAAAGCGTACCACTTTGCCTTCCCACCAGAGACGGGAGCATGGTCCCCTCCTACCATCCCCTGACGTAATGCCGGGAACCTCCAGCTCACTGTGTAGGTTCCATCTGAGATCGCCCCAGCAAAAATGCGTCTAGTCCTCTGCAGCCAGTTCCTTTAAGAATCCGGTTAAGGTCCCCGCCAGAGTGCAGTGCAGGACGACACATGCATGGACAAATGCCAGGTGGGAATCAGCCACTTTGGACGCGGCGGTGGCCTGGACAGAAGCGGCCACAGTTGGGATGGGAGGGAGAGGGCTCAAGTCTGGACCCATGGAGAAGTCGGGCTGGGTAAGGTAAGAGGGAGAAAGACGCTGCGGCCCAGGTTTTAGTGACCAGGGGGTGGTGGCGCCAAGAGAAGGGAGGCGCAGGTCTGGGGAAGAAATCTGTTTCCAGCTTGTCGCTCTTGACCTGCCTACAGCACACAGACGGGAAGCCATTTGGAAAGTGACTGTAAATGTGCTCGACCGGTGGAGTCAGACTTCTGGCGCAACAAAGAGGTGTACGTGTGCGGTCAGCATCAGCTGTAACCACCAAGTGCCGGCAACACACTTGATCTTAGCCAAAAGGCCGAGAAGCGATGAAGCGTAGTGAACAAATCTGTGTCTTACAGGGAAAAATATTTTCACAAGGCCCAGGTCCTCCCAGAGCATGCGCAATGGCGCCACTCCGACTCAACGTTTCCCCGACCCCGAGACTCAGTGCTGCGCATGCGTGAGGTGCACATGCGCCACACCCACCGCCGCCGCTCCCTTCTCCGGGCGTCAGCGCTCCTTCTCGGCCGGCCCCGCCCTGGAGGCTGCCCGTGACCTGCCCAGGCGCAGGGAACGGAAAGCCGGAAGGGGCAAGACGAGTTCCGTTCGCCATGGGGCTGTTTGGGAAAACCCAGGAGAAGCCGCCCAAAGAACTGGTAAGGGCTACGGCGGCGGCAGAAGAGTGGGTGGCTTTGCGTGGGGCACAGTGGAGTTGGCGAACGGCCGGACACTTTCCTCCCTCGGCTGCCCAGGGGCTGCCCGGCCCCCATTTCCGGGGCCTCCCACTCGACCGAGGGGGCCGATGGAAGAGTCTCTAAGGAGGCGGCGGTGGGGAGAGGCAGCTTTTGGCATCTGGGCGCCTGCCCCCCACGCAGCGAGGGCTGGGTTAAGGGTTCCTCGACCTCGCCACGGGGCGCGGAGGCAGCGGCGCAGCCCTGGCCTCGAAGTCCTTCCCCCATGTCCGCGATGGTACGTCCCTCCCGGAACCTTTCCCCGCAGGGCCCGCCCCCTCGCGCCGTCCTGAGGGGCTCCCCGGCCCGGACTGTGGTGCAGCGGTTCGGCGCCCACCGCGTTGTTTCCTCTTTGCTCTGTCGTGCGTCCTTACACCGACCCCAGATACACGTTAGTTAGAACGGGGAGCCTGCCTAGAGCAATGTTCCTGGGGATGGCTCGGGACCTAGCCGCGAACTCGGGCTGCCTGTTAGAGGGGATGGTGTCTGGAGGTGAGCGGTTCGGGGCGTCCTGCAGAGTCAGCCTGCGCCCCCACACCTCAGCCCTGTGATCTCGGAAAGTTAACTTCTCGGAGCCCTAGTCCCTGCTGAGTTAGGAGGGAGAGTGTCTTGGATGATGGGAGATTGAAATAGCTCGAGTGTTAGCTGGTAGAGGCCGTTAGGGCTGCGTGTTCGTGTGCGCTCCAGTCCTGCTACTCAGGTGCAGGGCAGCAGCGTCCACGTCACCTGGGAGCTTGTTGGAAACCTCTGGACGGAATCAGATTTTGTATTCTGACCTCTCTAGTGATTAGTATGCAGGCTAGCTTGATTAGCACAGCTCTAGGACACCTAGACGTGTTCATAATGGGAGGAAAAAACCCCATAAAATCCTTCTTTAGTAAGTGATCTCGGGGCCAGTGCTGTGGTGTAGCGGGTTGGGCTACCACCTGCAGCGCCAGCATCCCATATGAGCACAGGTTCCAGACTTGGGTGCCCAGCTTCCTAACCAGCGCCCTGCTAATGCCCTTGAGAAAGCAACAGGTGCTGGCTCAGGTACCTGGGCCCCTGCCACCGACGTGGGAAAGCAGGAAGGAGTTCCAGCCTCCTGCTTCAGGCAGGCCTTTGCAGCCATGTGGAGAACCAGAGGATGGAAGATCTCTTCCCCTTCTCTGTTTGTTTACCTTTAAAATAGACAGATATTTTTATGTAAGTAAGTGATCTTACCAGTTCAGCTCTGGCAGGGATATTTTGGGGAAAAAATTTATTAATGCTGTTTTGTGGTGTTCATTAGCTTTCCCAGATAGGTTACTCTACTGCAAGACTAAACTGACATCACTGTGTTCTTAGCAACTATAGTTATAATCTAGTTTTTAATTTTTTAAAAAATATTTATTTGAAAGGCAGAATTACAGAGAGGTGGAGTGGGGGAAGGGTCTTCCATCCATCTGCTGGCTCACTCCCCAAATGGCCACAACACTGGATCTGGGCCGGTCTAAAGCCAGGAGCTAGGAGCTTCCAGGTCCCCCAGGCGGGTGCAGGGGCCCAAGGACTTGGGCCACCTTCCATTGTTTTCCCAGGCCATAGCAGAGAGCTGGATAAGAAGTGGAGCAGCCCATATGTGATGCTGGCACTGCAGGTGGCCGCTTTACCTCCTATGCCACAGCGCCAGCGCCTATAGTTATAATTTAAAAATCGTAACACACATAGAAGATGGGGTTGAACAGCAGTAAGATTGTTTGCTTAGAATCTTACCTTATGAATGGCAAAGCCAAGGCCAAACATTGAATGATAATCTCTCCCTACCTTAAAGAAAAAAAATCGCTTTTATAATAACAAGCATTTAAGAATATACACATCCTACAAAATGTGAATCTGCTTAGTATTGTACAGTCGCATAGTGACATTACACACTTTTGTCTCACTTAAGCACATATTTTAAAACTAGGGAACAAAACTGAATTGCCTGATGGAAGTAAAATTTATTGAGTGCCTACTTTGCTAGGACTTTGGCTGAATAAAAACAACATTTACGCACATATTAATGGGTGGTCCTCTGCAGACTTCTCTGTGCTAATCACCAGAGATCTTTAGTTTTCTAATTGGATTCAGCAGCTCTAGGGCCTAGTGAGTTAACAAGCTGCCAGGTGATGTTGATGCTGCTGGTCTGCTCTTGAGTAGCGAGGCTGCAGGGTGCATACTTCGCCCTGGCTGCCACCACTGCTGGCTGCAATGTCTGGAACCAGGCGTTGAGCTCAGCATCCTGCAGGGATTGCCAGCTTCATGAGGTAGGTAGTGTTTCTGGGTGTGGAACTGAGGCATTGAGTAAGTAAATTGCCCAGGTTCGTACAGTTTGTAAATGTAGAAAGAGGTTCTAGCTAGTAAGCTTTATTCCAAGGCCTGTATGTATAACTTCTTGTGCCATTTATGCTGCTGCCCAAAGAGGGTTCTAAAGGTGAAATAAGCCAAGGGAGCTGTCTAGCTACTGAGATAAGCGTTTTGAGAAGTCTGGATTGGCTGCCACTTGGAACAGAAGTCAGAGGAATTCAGAAGTTGGAGTGATCCCCCAGGCTGGGCTGCTCGGAACACACTTCCTGCCTATGTATTGATTGTTGACTGTTGAGTAGGATCTTTATTCTTAGGTGATCCACATTGGTGCTAGAGGTGGTCCACCCAAGATTTCTTCTGGCTCCTCTTCCGTGGTACCCTGAACTGTGCTTTCAGTTCTGAGTTTATCTTGTTTGAGTTTCTCACAAGAGTGGCTCTGCTTTATGTTCAGCTTCTGCCAAGCGCTAGGCGCTCTCACACCTCGTGAGTTGTGTCTCCGTTACGTAGCGTTGAGTTTGAATTCAAGAAAGCGCCAATTGTGCAGGGATAGGAAAACTGTTTCCTTTGTAAAACTGCTGGGAAAAAGTACTGGTGCACTGATACATCAGTAAACAGACAAGTGAAGTTTGGCATTTTTTTTTAACTTGGGAGAAAGAAAATGCTCAGCTTGATAAAAGAAGTTAAGTAAAGGAAAAACTTTTTAGAAATAAAGTAAACTAACAGAGGGGGGAAAGGTTAGAGGAAGAGGGGATTGCCTGTACGCTCAGCCTCAGCTGGGCAGCTCTCGAGTGGGAGCAAGTTTACAGTATATACGCCTTCCATGTGGGCTGGGAGGTGGGCGTGTGGGTCCTGGTCCTGGAATAGCAGGGGCAGCCATACCAAAGCATGGTGGTGGTCAGACATGGTACCATTTAGGCCATGGTGACAGGTCAAGTCAGGTAAGTAAGGCATATTGGAGGTGGCGTTCCCAGAGCACTGGTGGTGTATGCAACACAGAGGCAGTGTTACGAACTGTTGAATGTGAGTGCCCTGATAAAGTTAAGTAAGCTTTAGGGTCAAGTAGTCCCAAGATGCAGTGTTTCAAGGAATGCTCCAGAGAAGCACTAGCTATGTAAGGGGGCTTCATAGAGGAAAGTCTGCCCCCAAATATCTCAGGCACTTAGAAACATCTTCTGGGCTGGCGTTTTGGTGTAGTGGGTTAAACTGCTGCCTGCAGTGCCAGCATCCCATATGGGTGCCAGTTCGAGTCCCAGCTGATCCACTTCCAATCCAGCTTCCTGCTAGCGTGCCTGGGAGAGCAGTAGAGGATGGCTCACGTGCTTGAACCACTGCACCCAAGTGGGAGACAAAGAAGTTCCTGGATTCTGCCTGGCCCAGCCTTGCTGTTGTGGCCATTTGGGAGGTGAACAGCAGATGGAAGACCTTTCTCTCTGTAACTCTGCCTTTCAAAGAAAAAATATTAGTGGTGAAATCTGTTCTTTCCTAAAGGGTCAAGATTAAGACTAGTCTGGGCTTTCTGAAATGAGGATGCCTTATAATACCTTTAAAAACCTGTGACGGGAGCAGTAGTTTGGCTTAGCAGCTAAGGTGCTGCTTGGGATGCCTGTCATGTAGGCCTGCCTGGGTTCCAGTACCAGCCCTGTTCCCAATTCCTGCTTCCTGCTAATTTGTGCCCTTGAGAGGCAGCAGGTATGGCTCTAGTTGGGTCTCTGCCATCCATGTGGGAGACCTGGACTGAGATCCTGGCTTTGGCCTGATTCAGCCCCAGGTGTTAGTAGCTTCTGGGGGGGTGAACCAGCAGTAAAGTAAAGCTACTAGATTTAAGTGTCCTGAGGAATTTTCCTTTTAACACTGTTAGAAGGTCATGGGGGTGGTGGTGGTGGTGGTACTCTGGTGACCTGTGACACAGCTCCTCGTGAACCTTTCACTTAGATGCTTTAGCATCCATGGGTACCCTGTTCCTCAACTATTCCAGAAAGCTTTTCTGAATGGCAGGTCTTCTGATATACTGTTTGTTCGCTGGCAGTAAAGGTCTGTCCATTAGCTGGGGCTGTCTATCTGAACATACAGTTGCTACTGGAAAGGAAGGAAAAGTGTTTAATGTGTTTTTCCTGTAATTACCAGAATTTAGGATACAGAATTGGTGACTTTCATGGTGTCAAATGCTTTCTCTAAACCACCAGCTCCATGCCCACTCACCCCTAATACCCCTCCACCTCCGCAGCATCATTTTGGACTCGTGGATGGAGTTTTATTTTAGTGTGTTTTTGTTAGTTCTCATCATTATTCTGTTTGATAGTGAAATACTTTAGTTGAAAATATTTCAATCTATCTCCTTTTTAACACAACCTTATTAGGCTTTGAATGCTTTCTGGTTTTGTAGCACAATGTATCCCAATATAATTTGTATATTCCCAGTATAAGACCTAAAGTCAGCCATTTCTCTGACAAGTACTAGTTTCTTTTAGTGGGAATGCTATTTAGAAACCAAAGTTTGGTGTTCATGGTGCTTCTTGCTATTTCAGTGTCCCTATTTCTAGGCTTTTTATGGAGCAGAACTAGGAAGCATGTTCTTTAAAAAATCATGAGCATGATTATAGAATAAGTTATTTTGAACCACCCCTTCTGCCAAAAATAACCAGAGGAGCTAAACAAAATGTGTAAGTATTTGAAACCACTGAAAGCTACTAAGGCAGTGAGAAACTGCAACCCGAAGATCCCAGGGAGAGGGAAGCCCGGTTACATGAACCCATCATCGGGGACCACTTTCTCAAAGAGTTCTTCTGTTTCCTGATACAGCGGCTGAGAGTCTGAGCAGAACTTGGACAGACTCTGGGTGGGGAGTATAGAAATTGGAGTTCACACCAAGAATAAGGACTCCAGTGAGGATCTAGTGAAGGCTTTTGGTTGCACTTTAGCAGTAACTGTGACCTG